CCCAGCAGGTAAGTCCCACCCAGCCAGGGCCCCACTCAATTTAACCCTGCTCCTGTCTCTGAGGCACTGTTGTCCCTCACCACAGGGACCTCAATCTAGCCCCTACCCCTTGCCTCCACCATGGACTGACCTGAGGCACGCACATGCATACGTGTGGGCACTCAGCCCCCCATCCAGGCCTCAAATAGACTCCAAGAGGCTCTGAGATCTCCCGGTGGATCAAGATCCACTGGTTGGTGACCACTGCACTAGAGAAACTTGATCACCCCAAGTTAAGGAACTACCTGAAACAAAATGAGCCCAACGCCAGCAGTTTTCTGTGTGCCAACAAGCTTCATCAGGACTATCTTCCTCAGTGATTGCTTCACATGTACAGTCCACGAAGGCTGCTTTGGGCAGAGTATAATTCCTTTTCTATTGTGGCTGACAAAGCCACCAACCCTCAGGACAACTACATACTGCGCATTTGTACCGGGGAGCTGGACTAACCAAACTCAGCCAGTCCACCTCACCTCTGTCAATTTTTCCACTGTATCCCACACTATCATGAAGGTGACTGTTAGCGATGGCATAGACTTTATCAAGATGTCAGCGTTCCTGTCTGACAATGCCATGTACATGTGCAAGGCTTTCTCCGATGTACTCGAAGGAACGCTGCCCGACACTGTTCGTGTCGCCTGCAACGCACACATTCTGTCCCTAGTAAATCACTTCTGGCACATGCAGTTCCCCAAGGTGGATAGTTTGGTGTTTTCTTTCAAGAAAGCCTTCAAGCACTGTCGAGGTCATAAGGTTCGGTACAGAATGTTCACTGCCAGTCAAAGTGGGCACTCACATGCCACTGTGCCACTGCCACCGGAACCTGTGGTCATACAGCGGAATTCCTGGTTCAACACAGTCTGTTACCACACCAAGTACACACAGCACTACCACCAGTTTGAGAGTGAGGAGCTGAAAATCACACCCAGCGCACAGTGCATGCTAAAGCTTTGCAAACTCTTAGAGCAAGGCGACATTCAAGATCAAGTGATGCTTGTGGCCAGCATGGCCACCTGGTTCATGGAGCTCCTGACCTGGTTTGAAGGCTGGCAGGTTGCAATCCACCATGCACAAAATCAGGTGACAGATTTGATAAGCTGGGTCAAAGACAAGGCATTGCAAGAACTGTCAAGCTGCCCTTCTGAAAACCAGAGCAAAAGGGAGCTAAGTCCAGGCAATAGCTGTGAAGCTGAAACATTACTACAGGTATGACATGTCACTTCCACCACAGTTCAGCTAGTCAGCTGCCCCCTTCCTTAGGGATTTTCATATTTTGGACCTCAACCAGGTGTCTTTGCTGAGTTTTGACCCTCAGCTACTAAAAGCAATCCCAGGATGGGGGAAAGAGCATGACGATGAATATGCTGCCTATGTGAGCCTTGTCAAAGAGTGCCAGATGCCCAGATCTGTGCCTGTGTTCTGGGACTCTGTACAATGGAGTTGCATCATACGTGCATTTAACTTACGTGAATTCAACAATATGCGCTTGGCAAAAAAAAAAAAGAGAAAAATAACGATTTAAATAGTGCAGGCGATTCCACCTGTCATTCCACTCAATGAGCACATGCTCTGGAGCGAGCGTGAGATGGAAGACATGAATCTCCTGTTCCCTCAGTCAGTCTCAGTTCCTGTGTGCCTCTCAGCGTGAGAGGCACGTGGGAACTGAGACCGAATCTAACATCTGTGCCATCAAGATTCTGTAATTCTGACTACACGCGATTTTCGCCTTACGCGCTGACTTTAGAACCTAACCCCCGCGTAAGATGCGACTCCACTGTAACTGGTTTCAACATCTTTATGCCCTGGTAAGACACTGCCTCAAGTCTAACAACCTCGGTAGATGCTGAGTGTGCCATCCCAGTGTATAGACAAGTGATCACCCCACAGAGATAGAGAATATCTCCAATGACTGTGGCTGGGTGGCAGGCAGCATGCTTGCATTTAATACATAGCATGAACTGCCTGTCTCAAGGTTAACATTCAGTTTCAGTAAACTCTCTCTCATAACATCCTTTAATAAAGTGTATATAGTTGGTATTAGTTACAATTCATGTTGTGCATAGAACAGCTTTATTTTCATAAGGTATTTCAGTTTAAGAGTTTGATTAAGTACGTAAAAGGTATTACTTAAAAACATGTATATAGTCAGTATTACTTGCAATTCATGGTGTCCCTTTCTTTATTTCAATAAGATACTTCATTTTACATATTAATTAGGTGCTTAAACCGCTTAATAATACTGCGGCAATTTATGGCTTCCTTGGGATAGCCATGTTAACAAGCAGTCTAGGACATGGTTAATGGCTTACCCAGGTTTGATCCCCTGAACTGCGGGGAAAAAAAGGAACCCTGAAATTATAAATACAAGGTGCTGGCACGTCATTGTGATTATATAGCCTACATGTTTGCTTAAACCCGTTTCTGATTTAGAGGAGCTGACCTTCCTTGAAATTTCAAGGTTGGCAAATTTAGCACAGTGCACTGGATGTATCCTTAAAAGAATCTTACACTCTCTCAGATTACCAAACACTATCTTACTGATTCCTCAGGAGAGGTTGCCAAACAAATAAGTAAAGCAAAAGCCACAAGTACTGCTGACACAGAGCAGTAAAGCAAGGCTACTGCACATCTCATATAAATGTGACATTACAGCTATGAAGGAATGTCTAAATGATTACTTGTTAAGTGCCTATCCAGGATATTGAGATATACTGCATCCTTTCAGCTGCCTATAAAAAAAATGAAGGATTATAAGGTAGAAAAATCTAGCTAGCATGGCTCCCAAAACACAAAACTCTCTTGTAAACCCCTGTACCTGTTTCTGTAAAACAAGCTCTCCTTCAACCTCTTGGAGTTTACTCTCCAGCTGCTGTTTCAGCTTCACATACTCCTCATGCTGCTGGTGGAGGTCATTGTTCTTGGAACTATAAAAAACAGATTTACATGAAAATGTGACCTAATGTATCCTGCTGATGGATGCTCATGGAAGGTCCTTCCAGCAACAGAGTATACACAAAAACTTAACATGCAAGAATATCATTTTTCAAAGAAAAGTACATAATAAAAATTTTCGTTCTACAAATAAACACAAGATCAATGTTTTAAGTCTAAATAATACATAAACAATGAACAATTCATAGCTTTTCCATACCAGAAGGGACCCTTGTGACCATCTAGTTTGATTTCCTGCATTACAAAGGCTGTAACATCTGGCTGGGTTTTCAGAAATATGTCCATACGGGACTGAAGGACATTATTGACAGAATATACATCACACTTTGGTGAGCTGTTTCAACAGCAAATGTAAAAAAAAGTGTGCCTTGTTTTCATAACAGTATAACAACATAGCATGAGATCCAGTAAAAAGAAGTCTGACAAGGCTGGGGACTTTCAAAGTGGTGAAGTAAATGCTATTACACATTTGTGTTGAAACTAAATTGATGTTGCTTGAATTTCAACTACTTTTAAAATCAGTATGATAAAAAAAAAAAAAATCAAGCAGTAACAATTCTATTTACAATTCTGAAAGCCTGCTGTAGCTTCTCTCACACTCCCTTAAGTCAGTTATATACTCCACAAGTTATGCCAGTCTTGGACATCTATTCACATACTTTGAGTACTGCTTACAACCTAATCCAGAAGAGAAGGCCACCATAGAATCATAGAAAATTAGGGCTGGAAGGGAACTCAGAAGGTCACATCTTGGTCAACTCCTTGCTCAAGTAAGGACTAACCTATTTGGGGTGTCACTAGACGTCTCTTATGTTCAGATATTCCTCCAAGCTGAAAACATTCACACACAGAGACACAACCTTCAATATGCAGCTAGTTAGTGTGGTGATGTGAAGCAGGAATGACTGTATGACTATTTATATAGGCAATGAGTTTTCTGAATACTTTCTCTGTATATGTTAAAACCGAAAACTATCATGTACTATAGAGACACCTGTGGTAACTTTCAATGAACCAGTTTGGGTACCGGAAGCAGTCTAGCCAGTTGCATGGAATCCCCATGACAGCTTCTGTCCAAGTGGCAGGGAGTCAATCTCTCTTCTCTTACCTCTGCAGCTGTTCCAGTTCTAACCGATGTTCTTTAAGTTTCTGTTGATACTGATATTGCAAATGCTCTTGTTTATGCGTTTCCTTGTCAAGTTTTTCCTGCAGTTTGTCCATCTGTATCCTAAGTTCGCTAACCTCTGCTTCTTTAGTATGTTCATGTGTCTTCAGATGGGCAAACATAGCATCATAGTGCGCCAGCTCCTGATCTCTCTCATCCAGAACTTTCAGATTATACGTGAAATCTTCTTTTAACCTGTTAAATTTTTTTTGTATTTCTTGGAGCTGTTTTCTGGAGTCTTGTAGTATTGTCTTTTGAAAATGGAGTTGGTGAGCTTGCAGCTCTTTCCATTCCTGTTCTTTCCACACAAGAAGCTCATTTAAGTCTTTTTCCATGTGTAGCACTGTTGAGCCTAAAAATACCAGAAAGTTACTCATTGTGGCTTCATGAGTGACAAACCATGCATCTGTCTTCCCCACTTCCCACCTCTACTATTGCTTAACTAGCTAGGAGTAGATTACTAAATTTTCCTGAAACAGCAGGTACTGTATTGATAAATTTCTTATCCTCACCGTATCCGCTAGAGCAAGGGAAGCACAGTTGTCCTAGTTATATGGATGGAAAACTGAGGTAGAGAGAGAACTAATAGCTTCCCAGTGTTACATAGAAAGTTTGTGGTGAAGCAGGGAAGCATATTCAGGTGTTCTAAATCCCAAGATACCTGCTTAACCTTCCTCCTCATATTGTGTCCCTAATACTTTTGCTCTCTGTGGAAGGTTTCACTGGCTGACATGACTGTCCATCTGCACTTGCAAAGTAATGACAATTTTAAGGAAGGTACTGGCAATGTACGTAGAAAATGGATGAACAAAACAAAATAATTTAATATTTATAGAAGCTCCACAACAAAATCCTAAACGTTGCCTTTCCTAGTGCCCCTTGGAAAAGACAGCCATAGCTTCCCATTGTCCAGGGTTGCCACCACCCACTTCAGACTTGCAGAGCTATGGATCATACATGCCTTTTTTCTTCTTAAGGACACCTGTGGTACTTTGACTCAAACTGTAATCCAACAAACTGGCTCTCTTACTGCACAGCCTACCTGGCCCTTTCATTCTGCTTATGAGGCCAACCCCGATGGGCCATTTATCAACTTCTCCCACAAAAATCTTGGTACCCTTTTTTCCCCACATCATTTCCTTCTAATTTGAGTCTGCCAAACCATGTATCCTTCCTTCATTCAAATACATCCACAGTGCATTCTCACAATATCCATGTGATATGAATCAATAATACATATATTTTAAAATATTTTTTTACTGGAACTATCAAGAGGCGCAAAAACTTAAAGTGAGTATGCATATGTAACTCTTCTTCCTCACCTCAATCTCTTCCTACTGTTTATTAGCCTTGCTCATTTGCATCACTATATAGTATTGTACCCAAGTCTTCAGAGCACAGACCATGACTTCATTTGTGCTTTACGGTGCCACCCATACTTCTCGGTCCTATAAAAACAATAAATGATAACATCCACTTAGCCTGTTTCCCTAAATCTCTGAAATCAGTATAGTTTCTCTCACAGTGCAATGCTATTCTGTGTTGGTCATGTCAGATAATCCTGTCCGCGTGCACATGGGGATACACAGAACAATAACTCAGACAAGCGTGTCTTTCCAGTGCTGGCTTTTTAATCTCTTAAAAGCCAAGAGAGATTTTAAGAACAGTCAACCTTATAAAAATATCCCTGCTCCAAAAGGATGCCACAATTTAAACGTCATTTCTTTCAACGAAGACCTGACAAATCTCATTTTTAGGGTGCGGGGCTGTGGAAATTGGGATGGACGTGACAAGCACAGTAATCAGACAGAGCTTTGCCTTTTTATGACGCATCAAGTAATAGCCTTTACTAAAGGGAAGAAGCTACACTACAGGACTCAGTGGTCTGACCATTTTTAAAATTCCTTTGGCTCAGTTTTTCCACTAGTTTTCTCAGTCTTCACTAAGAAAAGAAAAATTAAGCAAATGCTCTCTTTAGATTAAAATTGGTAGTTGGATACATCTGGAGAAGGCACTGATTTACATTTTTATAAATGTTATCTTTTCCAGTGGAGTAGGCAAAGATTGAGATTTTCTACTAGCAGCAACATTACTTGAAGTGCTTAATGGACAACATACAGAAAGGTATCTTCCTTTTTATATCTCCCTTTTACTCTTCTCAGCTGCTGCTGGTTCAAACGCATTTGGCTTTTACCACAGCTAAAAATATGAAGTAACGTAATTCTAATGCAGGAATGAACAAGCACCAAGCTTACTATGTAAAGAAAGGAACAGTACTGTCATTAGTTCAGAATCCATTTATCTCAAAATATTTCTAATGCACTGAACAGTTTCTGCACTGTTAAATAAAAGTCTATGGTGCCAGCCCATATACAGTGTGATATCAAAACACTGTCATAAGTGCCCTTTAAAAACTCTGACGTGCTTCATTGGCTAAACTTAGCAATACAATCTTTACACAAGACCTTTGTAACAGTCCAAAGGGACCAAAAATAAGACCTTCCAGCTCACTGCCTCTCTACTACCTCCTCTTAAATGTCAGTTATCTGAAGTCATGATATATTAAAAGGGGGCTAAGGAGCAAAAAGTTTAGAATATTCAAATCTTTTATTTTACTGAAAATGTCATTCAAGTCTACAATTTCAAAATTACTGTATAGCAGGCAAATTGTTTTCTCAAACATTTGGTTATTTTAACAATACTAGCAAGTTAAAAACATTTTTAGTCTCTAAACTATAATAAAGTTAGTCTACAAAACGTGAACAAGTCAGTCAGTGGAAAGTTGATGGGAAAGTGTTGCTCTTGCCCAAGGACCCAAAACTGGGATCCGCTTACATTGTGAGATACCTTGGGGTCATATATATGTATTTGGAAGAGAAAACACACCTTTCAGAAGCTGTTAGAAACCATTTTTCCCTCAATGAGCAACCGTATTTCCTGGAAAGGCACCCTAAATGAGTACAAAAGTATTTGCCATGCACAGCATTGATACTCACACAGTCTGCAGTTATCAAAACCTCAGGAGGTGTTTCTAAAGAGGGTTGTGGAAACTGCTATGGACTTTTGCAGAGCAACTGCACCAATATCCTGGATATCTAACAATCGTGCTTCGAACTGTAGCACAGTAAACAGCAAAAACGTCTGTGTGGACAGAGGCGAGCAGTCCAGGTGTGTTACTGCTGGACCTCCCTGCAGCTCCGCACCCAGGAGCTCCCAAGATGCTGCTCGCCTGGCAGCGTAACACAGCAGCAGAGAGACGCGCGCAGGGACAGTGGCCAATCACCTCTCTCCCACAAGGAGCAGAGAGCGGCGATGGGCAAATTCTCTTCCTCCTCAAAGGCTCAATCGCGCTGTCTTTCCCCAGGATCGCCACCCATACCAGCCCGGCATCCTTTACGTTCCGAGATGCCACAGTTCAGGCAGAAACGCAATGCTGTGACACTCGGACAGACACGCGCCTCGGTGGGCAGCGACTACAGAGCCCCTGCTACCAGACCAGACCAGACACGTCCGAGGCAGCTGCCTGGCATCCAGCCACGGCGCCAGGGCAGGCTGGTTGTGCCCACAGACGTCTTCGCCCTCCAGCGCTCTGCGGAGTTGGCCCCTGATCCCGGGCGCGGGCGGGCCGTGCCTGCTACTCACCACCTCCGGGCTCCACCTGCCCTTCTTTCCCCGCCTCCTCACAGGCAGGCAGGGCGCGGAGCAGCAGGGCTCGGCCCGCACGAGCACGGAGCCCTCGGAGCGCCCCTGGGCCTCGGCGCGGCGGGGCCTCCTCCTCCTCCTCCTCCTCCTCCTCCCCTCGACGTACGCGCAGACACGGTCTCCGGCAGGGCCCGACACGCGGCTGCTCCGGGAGGCGCGGGCAGGCGACCAGCCACGGAGAAGCGCCTCGGGCGTCAGCACCGCACCGGGACGAGGCCCTTCCCAGGGCTGCCTCCTGCTCCAGGCCGCGGCAGCGAATCCCACCCCGTCCTGCCGACTAGGCCGCGTCGTCATGGCAACGCCCGGGGCTCTGCGCGCGCAGCCAGCCAGCCGGTACCACGTGACCTGCGGCGGAGGAAGCTCCTGGGCCAGTCCCGCCCCGCCCCGCCCCGGGCCCGGGCAAGAACGAGACACAGCCCGAGCTGCCCCGGGCGGACCGAGCCCCGCGCCGCCTCTCCTGCCCCTTTCTCGGCAGATGTGGAGCGGAAAGCCCAGCTCCATTTGTGCCGTGCCGTGCCGGACGGGGGGGCCGGAGCGATGGGCAGCCAGCCCGGGACAAGGGAGAGGGGTCGGCGGGGAAGGGAGCCGCGTGCTGCCCGGGGAAGGGCCACGAGGCACTTGCTGTACTTGGGACTACGCCGGTTTCCTTGGTGGTTTCACTAGAATGATCCGTTGGCTTCAGTAAATAATACTGTGAATAACAATAAATCTTCCGGTGCAGTGAGCTACTACCCAGGCCGTGTAACCCTCGTACCTTGATGTAGTTGTATAGGCCATGGTTAATGCTGGTTTAAACTCGCACTTGGAAGTTGTTTTCAGGTCTATACAGCTACGAACTAATGCTCCAGCTTCCTTTGAGGATAGATGAGGAGCCCGTTCCTGCACGCTCTGGTGGACTTGCAGCTTGCCGGCTGGTATTGGACTAATGGGTCGATTTTACATCAAAGTGAGTCAGCAAAACTCAGGGCCTTCAAGAGGCGCTGCATCCCTGAAGGCAGACATACGCATCTGAAAGAGAAGCAGAGGATGTCCGGTCTCATGAACACATGAACATTTTCTTTTTCTTGTAAGAAAAGGGGTCAGGAATGAAGAACAGACAGAAGCGCTATCCAGTCAGGCAGTGCTTAATGCGGAAAGTACGGGTGAGGCAAAAGAGGCTGCAGGCCATCTCTCTGCTGCTGCTTTCTGGCCCCAGCCCTGTGATGTAAGCGCATGAGAGAGCAAAACATGCAAACAGTTTCACAATGGAGAAGGGTTGGGCCACTGACTGTAAATACTCCAGCATCCAAGTGCAAACATGATGTTAATGCAACATTAAAATTCAGGCTTATTTGCAGAAATTTCATTATATTCAGAGTTAATGTTCTTCCAAATATAATTTTCCCCCTGTATGCTTATACATGATAGTCATATGTTGCAACAGAAGAAACCTAGAACCACAATTTTCAAAACTTAAAACTAGACTTCTAAATAAAAACATATCCGTTTTCTAGACCCTTGAACCTGCAGCTCCCAATGAACTCTACAGGGACTGCTGAGGGTCAGCACATCTGAAATACAGCCACCGTTTGGGAACCGGCATAAGGATTTAGGAGTGTAACATGGATCCAAGTCTGAAGCATCTGCTACTAATGTTTGTCTCCTAAATTGGACCATATACTATGGGTTTGTATTTAACATGCGTTACCATTAAATGGATTTACATTGTGCATTGCTCCATGTATTTTCTGTGTCACAGAAGAAAAGACCCCATTATCATACTTGGTTAGAAGCAAGGCTAAGGTGTTTGAAACTTCAATTCTGAATTTATTTGCCCTTTCTGCAATAAAGATCTGACAGGGGCCCTTTGTACTGCCTGGCATGTGAGACTGGAGCTAAAAATCAAAGACTATGGCAGTGTATCAGTGAATGACAACTATGAAATAATGTAATAGTTGTTTCAGGTTTAGTGTTACAGATTTAATGTTACCCAAAGCATAATACTTGCTATACGTATCATTCTAGTGTGAGAAAGAGAACATTTTTGCCTTAAAAGACAACTGTAAAGAGCTTAATGAAGCCAAATACGTACAAGCCTTTCAGGAACCACCATGCATCTTAGGAATAGCAACTAGAAGTCACCTAAACTCCAAAGAGTGGTGGGATTCCACTGGAGCAGCTGCCCCCCCAAGACCTCTAAGACACTCTGCTTCTGCAAGGCCTGGAAGAAGGTAGAAGGTGTTCCTAAGATACTCTGTTTCTGCCCCCCAAGACTCCTAAGATACACTCTGCTTCTGCAAGACTTGGAAGAAGGTAGTAGGAAGGACCCCAGCCACATGGAACTCAGCTCCACAGGAGCAAAGCTGCAGCCACATCTGCCAGCCTCCACCAGCCCCCTCTGAAACAGTGCTTCAGCCACTGCTATTCGGGGCAGCAGGGACAACAGCATGCCTAAGAGTTACCTACCCAACCACACTTTGAAAGGAAAGAGACAATCTCAGCTCTGTACCTCCCACTGTGTTTTTAAGGAAAGCAATATAGGATCAAATCTAAGAAATTCACAGAACTCCTTGGAGGAATTAAAAATATGCATCTGAACACGAAAAAGTGCCAGCTGAAGCATGACTGTGGTGTAAGGACTCAATCAGGAGGAGAAAAATGATGAGAAGTGCAGATTTCCTTGTGAAGGTAGGTATTGTCAACCATCATTGATGTCACCTCAGCCAAAAAGATGCATGATCTGGGCTTCAGTGTGGCTTTAGGATTGTGTAGTTTTTATGGAACTGACATGCTTTTTAAATTAAAAAAATATATATATATATATATATATAAAAAAAAACAGCAAGAGGTATGTCAGTGATCAATCAACATAAATATGAATACCAGGGCTTCAAACATAATACTTGAAGAGCATGCTGAATACAGAATATAAGGGCCAAATCTTGGCACCTACCCATACACATATTTGTGAAGAATCTAGCAAAAAACAAACATTTGCAACCATGAGTAGTAAAACTACTTTTGAGCTGCAGAAGAGGCTACTTTTGAGTAGTATCAAATGCAGCACAGTACCTGGTTTAGAGTTATGATGCTAGTGTGGCTGTTTTAGCGTGCTTGCAGCAATGACATTAAGGACAGAAAATGGTGTGGCTATTTACCTAACCCTGGAAAGCAGTTTCCAAAGGCCTCTTTGGACACCTTTTGTCTGTTTTGAACATGCCCTCTGTACAAATCAGTGACAAAACCTTTAATATTTAAAAACATACAATATCTTTCTGCGTACCATGAGGCACTATCAATTCCAAGGGTTTCCGAGTTGCCTAGATTCAATCCAGGTTTCTGTAGGCATAACACTATGGGACTTTGCTCGCAACACTAGCTTCTCGTTAACTGCTGAATGTTAAATGCTGAATCAAATCCAAGAATTTGGTCCTGGTCTTCAAAGCATCCTTTGAAGGCTCCACTTAGCCTTGCTTTTACCCACCAGGAAGATGTTTGCTCTCAGCATAGGGCATTCATCCTGGAATAATAGAATAATTAACTACAAGGGTGAGACCCTTAGGGCTTGTGATGATGAGCTCACTTCTTCTGAACAGCAAGATGGCAATGAATCTTCCTGCCTTCAGAATTAAATGGAGCCCAGATCCCTAAGCTCTCTCACAGCTGTAAACTCTAGCTCCCAAACACCTGCAGCAGGGTTGGAGCCTACATACGAGCTTTGGTGAGCATGGATTCTACCAGACCCGACAGGATGCGCTGTTCTCTTTCTTCTGACTCTTACACATTATGAGCATCTTTTTTTTGTTTAGGTTCATTTAGCAACCCCATAGTCTTAGTCTCTGAAGTGTCCTCTAGTGATGGTGACCAGAGTTTTCCAGTTACTGCCACAACAGCAGACAGCTATGTGAAGACTTCCCTCCTGCTGACTGCAAGCGCACCTCTCCCTGTTATGGAAAAATCACTGTTTACAAATGACTCGAGAACACCCATGAGCTTGGACTCAGAAATTCTCCTTTATAGTAATAACTTGCCATGACAAAGCAGTGATTCAAATAGGATGGAGATAATTAAACTTAGGGACTTTGCGGAAGGAAGAGGGAGGATCGTGCTAGCAGAGGTGTTGGCCTGGGTTACCCAACCTCAATACCTTGCCCCACTGACATCGTGTGTAGCTTCAGGCAAGTCACCATCTCTGTCTGTGGCACCCACGAGGGAAGTGTGCTTGCTGTGGGTTCAACCAGTTGGCTTTTTACCCACAAGCTCCAACACCATCAGCACTGCCTGTATAAAGGAGCCAGGCGCTTGCCCCCCTGCCTTGGTGGTAGGCCTCAGGCAAGATCAGTTCATCCCTCATACAAACCTGTAGCACCATTTAGGTGATCAAAATACAATTATTCCCTGCTCTGCAAGCGTTGGACTGACCCTGCTGTGTTCCTTTTGTATTCTATAGGGGTGTCCAGGCCTCCTTGGCTGCCACGGCTCCTGGGCCCATGGTGCTCACAGGAAAACATGGTATGGCCACTTGTGGGGGAGCATTGAGAGACACGTTCAGCATCTCTGCATGGGGCTCACTCCTGATTGCAGCACCAAGGTGCCTCTGCACTGCTCGCCTGGTGACCCCACCATAGGCGTATGGGGTGGGACCTGGAGTCTGGCCCACCTTTCCCAGCATCCCTGGCCTCCAAGTCTTGCCGCCTAGCACCGGCTGCCTTGGAGCCGCTAGCACCAGCACTGCCAACCTACTGCGCTGACCCCTTCCAGGCTGTTGATTCCTGTGCCTGAGGGCTCAGCCCCCGTGCCCCAACTCGGCCTCCACCCTCCAGGAAGGTCGCTTCCCTCAGCAGAGCCACCTCCCCCTCTGTTCCCCCACAGCTAGGCCCAGAGGAGGAGGCATGCAGCAGGTCCCCTGTGGGGCCCCTGCCCCCGCACGGCCGTCGGCAGCTCTGCTGGGAGCTGCACCCCAGGGGCAGGGGCCGCTCGAGGAGGCCAGGCCAGGCCCGGCTCAGCCACACGCCCGGATGCCGGGGACCTGGGCTGCTTCTCCACGCGCAGCCACGCCTCACCCCGCGCCGGGGGTAATGCCTGTGGCCCGGGTCATCTCTGCCCCAGAGCCGCCCGCGCTCTCCCGGCCCCGGCCCCGGC